TATTAGCGCTGTGGGCTGCGGACGCGCGTTTCTCCGCCTGCGGGAAGATTGGAGACGAGTTGAGGTGAGGTTTGCCTAACCTACGTGTAGCCGTACCCTCTTCCCTCCCCCCAAGGTGAAACGGAAGTGACGGACAAATTTTGTCGGCGGTCTGTTTGAAGATTAGCCAGCTTCGGCCAAAACTTGTCGAGTCGCAACAAACTATCCGCACTTGTAAAATGTTGGTGATGACAGAAAATTTGTCTAAATAAACAACTTTTTCGCTAGTGCGGGTAGGCCCTACCTCTGGTTTTAAATGTTCTCAACAAATGGAAGCTTAAGGAAACACAGACATTTAATGGGAGTCAATACCTTCAAATGTCCCCATATCACTTTCAGGAACATGTTTTTTCAACGCCCACCACTTGCTTCTAAGCCACTGAGGGGAACGGACGCTTGAAGAGAACAAAATTGAAGGAGAGAGGGTATCAGTACCTCATTACACGACATAATTAAATAATTTATAAAATTAAAGAATGTAGAAAGTTGAGAAAACCGACCTGGACCAATTGCTTGCCATCACCTGCCAATCTAAATCATTCTCATCCTGAAGATTCATTTCGTGGATTCTAAAACAACAAATATACATAATGACCTAACCCTTTAACTCCCAAAAGTGATTAACAAGTAACTTCTCCCTTTAAATTCAAACATTATAAAGCAAAAAGGTAATGAGAATACTCAAACATATCAGGCAGGAGTTGCTATCATGATCTAACACCAAATTCTCATAACTGATTTGCAAGGAAATGTAAAGCAGATAGATAGGAGATTTTACAATCAGATCTTTGGAGTAAAAGAGTTAAATGTGGAAGCTCTGTATCTGCTATGTTTTGATTCATGAGCAGGATAAGGAAATAAATAGCCTGTGTGGCTGGCATACAAAACATGTAAGGATCAGGAGTTTATATAAGCACGAAGCACAATCGCTGGGATTTGTCCTTCCCCAATCCCAAAAATCAAAATTTTTCTTGGCATCAAATCCCCCTCAACACTCCCCTTGCAAGTCCATTACACAGGCTATGGATTGAAATGACTAAATAAAAGTATAAAAGCTCAATTTTGTAAAGTGTTAAGGCCTTAGATTACTCATTGAAAAACCTATGTGATATTTAATATTTACTTAGCATGTACATGCAACTAGCTGATATCCATTTATCAGGGTGTGAGCTTGGAAATTGGGCACAGGAGTTGGGTGAAACTTTCAATTTTTCATTATAGTTTTATCAGGGTAGCAAAGATTTTTGAAAGCATTCCAAAACACTGACAGTCAGAAGAATTGTCTTTAATTTTTATCTTACCTGGTAATGAGTTGAATCTCATCCTGTTTTGTCCATTCTTGTCCTCCTTTTTCTTTCCAGTTTAAATAATTTAACCTGATCAAGGCAGCAAACACAAGGTCACATTTACAAATCAAATAAAAAATTCAACTCAATTTGAAGAAAATGAGACAATTCTTTACTGACTGCTTTGCTAGTCTAGAACAACAATCTACCTCAGCCCTGAAGGGAGATGAAGTGGCCTATTGGAACAACTTCTTTCAGGGTCAGGAAACAGGAGATGCACACCACCCACTCCCCCTTATTTGTGAACAACTGGAGGTTTCTAACATAACTTCACGGTTCTACAAAATCTGCTGTATTGTTTGCTATGTATTTTCAGCAGTTCACATTATGATGTGATTCTTTAGTGGTGCATGCCTGCTAAGGAAATCCTGGATCCCCCCTCTGGGAAATAAACCTATCTCAGATGTTTGGATGGATATTATAGCCCTATCTGTGGCTAATTTGCTAGAAATGGCCATGGAGGTCTCAAAAACTAGCAATAAAATTCTCACCATTTGGAGCGGCATTGCTTTTCTGATCTTGTGCCAACTCTCTCAGCAACAGCTGCCCAAGATATCCCAGCTGTAATGAAATCCCCAGAGGTTGCACTGCTAAGTTCATGTACTGCATTGGAAAGTCTCTGCTCTTCCTCTACAGTCCACTTGCCTTAAATGTTAATTTTTGTTAAATAAAAAAATAAAAAATAAAGTGATTATGAATTCTCTCCACATAAATTAAAAACATCCTTAACAGATAGAAAATTCACAATTTAAATATTGGTAAACGGAGGTGGAGGAGGGGGCCTTGAGACTTTTTTATCTGTAAAAGTCTTGTGAACTTTGAGAAATTCTGGACACCCTTCCAAGATCTGTCTTAAGTTCATTCAACAAAATGTAACACCATTGATAGCTTTGAGAAAAAATTTCCAATTGATGAATGTTTTCATGAAAAAAGAAAACAAAAACAAAAAACTTTGAATTAGCAAAGCTTTACAAGCTCTGTGGTTTTCAGGAGGCCTCTAAGCATTTCTATTTTCTTCTTTTTCTCTAGCCTTGATCCTTTAATATATATCAGAATAATAAACATGAAAAAATTAGGCACATCTGATTGGCTGAAGACGAGTGCTTTTTTCATGTAACACTACATGCAAATTACAAATAGTGCAGGTGCTGCCAAAATTTTATCTGTCCTGACTTTCTGTGGTACATTTTTCATTAAATTAGTATCAAGTAACAACATGATTTGTTGTGCAATTTGGTGTAAACAAGCACTACAGGCTTGTGAAATTTTTTTGTCTTTGAAAAATTTACTCATGCTTATTAACACCAAATTGCCATCAAAATCACGTTCTCACTTACACAAATACCAATCATGAATTTTTACCAGAATGACAGTGTTCTCTCATAAGCCTGAATCTGTCCTTGACAGATGATGCACTCCGGCCCATGGCAGCCCCAATTGTAGCCCAGTCGTTACCATGTTTCTCTTTCAAAGATTTTAGTTGCTCCACCTCCTCTGAAGAGTACTTTCCTATATAATTTCGCCTGTCATACATGCGAAGAACACGACGATATATGGCAAATAAAGGACGTCTTATTCCCTTTGCTAAAAAAAAAATTTAAGAGCTGAGCTATGAAAATTCATCTCTAGCATCAGGAATATTTTTTCATTTAAATATAGATTTATTTAGAACTTAATTGATTTCTTGCTTTCAATGAAAAGGATGATTAGTTTTTGTAAGCAATTAACTTGACCATGTTAAAATAACTGACAATTGTTTTTACCAATTGTTCTGTAGAAATCCTTTCGATCATCTTTAGTCATTTCAAATATGATTATATTTGGATCTGGGATGTTGTTCACCTGATAAATGAAAAGAAATTGAAAAGTTAAATATTCTGCACGAGACTCAAAAAGAAGCAAGAGGGAATTCAGAAAGCCATCTCTATGCCAGCATTCCTTGTGAGCCTTGGAAATCATTGCAAGCCTCTCTTTTCTTGAAAGGGATAGAAAAGCTGAGGTATACAACTTTTTATGTATTGCCATAAGTAAGTGCTCAAGCTACGTTGACCATCTAGCCAGAGCTCATCCTAGATTCCTTAGCATGAAGCAACTAGGAGGATCACTTATTTCCACTGAATGGGTCAGGGATGCATGTCCATTGCAAGGTTATCCCCCACCACTTCATCACGCTTTCCTGACAGTTCATGGTAACCAGTCAACTCGCCGACGGACCAACTCGCCGACGCCGAGTCGAGTAGAGACGTTGGCGAGTTGGTCGTCAATCCAATACAACTTATCAGAAGTTAAACATACAGAAAATTAAACGATATTTAGTTAAAAAAAACACTGGTGAACATTGGTGAACATCTAACAGAAGCTTAAACATTGGTGAACATTGGTGAACATCACCAATGACTATAACAGCTTAAGACGCGAACGAGTTATTGTGCGACAACAACACCGTAAAGACTGATCATGTCAATCGCTCAGATTTTTTGACGACAACTTGGCTTTCTAGACAAGATCTTTAATAAAAAACAATTTTTTTTATTCCCAACAAAGCTTATAAGGATCTCAAGGTGAATAAAGTAAAGTAAACATCACAATGACTCTAACAGCTTCAAACACGAACGAGTTATTGTGTGACAACAACACTGTAAAGACTCATCATGACAATCGGTCAGATTTTTTAAGAAAACTTGGCTTTCTAGATAAAATCTATAGTAAAAAGCAATTCTTTTTATTTGCAACAAAGTTTATAAGGATCTCAAGGCGAGTAAAGTAAAGTAAACATCACAATGACTCTAACAGCTTCAAACGTGAAAGAGTTATTGTGTGACAATAAAGTTTATAAGGATCTCAAGGCGAATAAAGTCAAGTAAACATCGCTGAATGACTACATCCGCTTCAGACGCGAACGAGTTATTGTGTGACAACAACACCGTAAAGACTCATCATGTTAATCGCTTAGATTTTTAACGAAAACTTGGCTTTCTAGACAAGATCTTTATTAAAAAGCAATTCTTTTTATTTGCAACAAAGTTTATAAGGATCTCAAGGCGAATAAAGCGACATTAACATCGCCAATGAACAAAATTGGCTGTAGATGCAAATGAGTTGTGTGAGTCATTGGTGATGTTTACTTCGCTTTATTGGCCTTGAGATCCTTATAAACTTTGTTGCAAATAAAAAGAAATGCTTTTTACTGAAGATCTCGTCTAGAAAGCCAAGTTTTCGTCAAAAAATCTGAGCGATTGACATGATGAGTCTTTACGGTGTTGTTGTCGCACAATAACTTGTTCGCGTCTTAAGCTGTTATAGTCATTGGTGATGTTCACCAATGTTCACCAATGTTTAGACTTGTAGCATGATCATCACGCCCATTCAGGGTTGTTCAGAAATATTTGAAAATATCTTGATCAGCAATGGACAGATTGTTTTCAAACTTGTCAATTTGCTTCTCTGATGATTGCAGTTTAATAAAAAATAACTTTGTTGCCTTTTGGAATAATGTAAGAATTGAAAAATATTAAAGATACTGGAAAATATACCCAAATTATAAATGTAACGCGTAACATCTCATTTGCATAAACCCGAAAATAAAGGTAAATTTCGTACTCAAAACAACATCAATTAGAAACTTCCATTATGCTCATTTATTGAGTAGGGCTTAAATACACCTTATGCCAAGAGACAGCGTTAAATGTTCGTTTTTAAAAGAACAGGAATAAAAAACTTGAAGACAGTCGCTGTTGTTTGCTTGTGTAACGCAGCAGATCCAACAGAGCTTTGCATGGTACATGTGCGGGTCTAGCATCTTGAGTATACGCCTACAAAGAAAGTTGATTCGTCTGAGTAAGGTTCAAACACTTACTTACCCTCATCTAAACTAACTTTTAAAAAGAGCTAACTGCAAAGAAGAAATAAGTGATTTTTGGTTTCGGAAACGATGTTATTGTTTATTTTTAAACACAGAAAATCAAACACCACTTACCTGCAAAAATGCCCGTATTTCAGCTTTTACTTCACCTTGGCTGCTGAGACAACTCCCAAGCAAAGTTCATGTGTTCGACTACAAATCCCTAAAGTTTTACAGCCATACATACAATACAAACGAAGATATTCAAAGCAAACTAAATCGGAAACCTAAATTCACTCTCGCTTTGTGTTTATTAATGTGTAACGATCAAATTTCAAGCCCGCTCTACATTGAAATCCGCACAAATAACGCTCGAAAAACGCTAAACTTCGCCTGATTTTCTCGTTGAAATCAAGCAACAAACATCGAAGGTGTCCCATGTAACCTCTCCTCTATGTATGTGGGGAGTTCTTATGAATAATTCTGGGATGTGTGTGGAGAACTAAAGAGAAAGAGGAATAACATTTACTAAGTCCCTGTAGATGTCAATGAAGAAATAATTGCTTCTTTGTAAATCTAGAGATAGTTGAAATATAATTAATATTATAGTTATATATTATTATAATTAATTTTTTTTGTAACTCAGCCATTATGGCCAGTGAAATCTAGTGATACAGTCAAATGCCACGCCCGCAAAGGATTGTGGGTAATCAGTAATTAAGCTTTAAAAACCGAACAAACATTGAAATCTTCACTAATTCTTTTTAGAACGTAAATTAGCAAGTATATCTAGCAAATAAAAGTATTTTTTGCATACTTTTTACATTTTCATGAAAATACCCTATGTTACACATTTGGGCATGATGATTGTGCTACAAGTCTTAAGCTTCTGTTAGATGTTCACCAATGTTCACCAGTGTTTTTTTACCAAATATCGTTTAATTTTCTGTATGTTTAACTTCTAATAAGTTGTATTGGATTGACGACCAACTCGCCGACGTCTCTACTCGATTTTATACGTCGGTGAGTTGGCGTCGGCGAGTTGACCGTAATTCCAGTTCATTGGTACCCATTTATACTTCTGAGTGGAGAGAGGCACTGTGAATCTTAAGCATTTTGCCTAAGAACACAACACTTTGACCCAGCCAGGTCTTGAACATGGACCTCTCAACCCAGAGTCAAGGGCACTAACCAATTGAGAACAACCCCATCTTCCACCTATTTCTAGCTCCCTCACCTTGCAGTACTCAAGAATGTTCTCTTTAAGCTGTTCATTCTCCTCCTTAGACCACATTCCTTGCCTCCACTTCACACCTAAATACATGTACATGAGCAGCAGGTCAAATGTAAATTGTAGTACATACTTTCTTCAGAGACAAATTTTAAGGACTTTTCTAGGAATTGGATTGATTTTACTATGACTCCAAATTTCACCATAAATACCTCATTCCCAACCTTTTCAAGATCAATTCTCCCTACTACCTACAAAAATTTCTTATGAAATAAATTCTGAAAACTTTAATGCTTGAGTTAAGCAGATCTCCAGGACTTTCCAGTGCTCAAAAATTTCAAATGAAATTTCAGAACTTTCCAGATTTTCTTGGACCCATATGAACCCTGAATTTTTTTCCTGTTTGTCTGCCTTTTCCACACAGTTGATTACAAAAAGCAACTGCAGGACAAATTGAAGAAGATAGATAATCCATCATAGTAAATTTTGAAAGGCTGATGTTTAAAGTGTTGGTGCCACTTTTCCCCATCGGAGGGTGAATAGTTGAAGTGGAAACTTCCCAAAATTTGCTGGGCAGTTTATCTGGCTTAATCAACTTCTTAGTAATAATCAATGAAGTGTTTCAACTTCTTGTCAATGTAACACAACCATTTACTAAATTACCTCAATAATATATAGATTTAGCCAAGCCTAAAAGCAGAGCTCGCATTTTTTTTCTCCGCATGTCTCAGGGGCACAACGCCTTGCCCCGGCTGGGACTGGAACCCAGGTCGTCTGACTCGGAGCCCAGTGCACTGACAACTGGACTACTGGACAAAGCGTGCCCACAATACAGTTGACCATGCATGTTAGAAGTAGCACCTTGTACAGTCATATGATTGTACGGTCATACATCCAAATTTTTTCAGCTTGATGGGTTACTACTATTTTGTACAATTATGGGGCTATGTGAGCTCCGCCATGAGCTAGATTTTTTAGCTCATATTTCCCAATCTTTGTTAGTAAAATTTGCTTGGCTTCATGATAAGAAATTCAAGGTCGTGTAGTAGACTGTGCCTATCTCCACCAACCTTGGTTTGGGCTACTTCTTAAATGCAATGAATTACTTGGACCACCTCATTTAGGGTAGTAGCAAAAAAGGCATATGCCATATGGTGTTTAAGAGATATTTTAGAATCATTAGACACCCGGACCTAAAGTGAAGCTTGATAACAGAGTCCACCAAAAACTTCAAATATGAAGGTGTGTGTGTGACAAAATATTTCTGACCTTTGCCATGAAGATTATCTTTGTCCTCCTTAGTGGTAAACCATGCTTGGTTGACTGAATTATTGTTGTCACTGACAACAACTGGCTGGGAGGCTGGAATGATTGATGACTCCTGAGTAAGCTGACCTGCGGCGAGTGCTGCAACAGCTGCAGACAATGTTAACGTTGCATTTGCTGCTTCTTGAGCTGAGAGAGGGGCAAGCTGGCCAGTGTTGTCAATGGTGGCATTGGTGAATGTCTGAGAGGCTACCTCCTGGTAGAAAAACAAAAAAACGATGATAGGCATGAGTCATCACCACAACAAAGGTAAAATGAGACACTTGATTAATGTGCTTGTAATCTGCCAAAGAAATAATGATCTCTTTTCTTACACATAAAGAGGACTATTCCAGCACAGTATTAACCCTTTCACTCCCAAGATCTCACTAGTAATTCTCCCTACTGTCTGCCATACAATTCTTATGATGTAAGTTTGAATAATTTAGTGTTGGATCAACAAATAATAGTCACCTAATTGATATTTTTCTTTATTCTTGTCACTTATCTGCTTAACATTGTACTGTTGTCTTAAGGAGAAATTCTCTTTTAGTCACTTATGAGAGTTAACAAGAAGAGACCTAAACAATACATCTGCCTATCCTTGACCACAAATGACTGTAATTGTGATATTTTTTAGATGTATTCCAACAGTTATTTGTTAATATTAAAAAGAGCTTGAAAATAAATAATTAATGGTTCAATTTTACCTGAGAAACAGCGAGTGAAACAGAAGAGGACATACTGACGAGAGTTGCTAAGTCAGCAAACCCATCTGAACTCTCAGGGTCAAGATGGAGATGTTTATTTACTTGTTCATCTGTTTGATCAGTGTGCTTCCTCTTTACTCCAGCTGTAAATCATGATGAATTATTAATACTAATTAATAATCATTTATCTTTTCATCAACGGTATTTTCACTAAAAGATTCTTCTATGACCCCTTTCCAGCTCTTTATTTCCTTCATGTCATAAAGTTCTACCTGCTCTTTAACCCTTTAACTCCCAGAAGTGATTAACATGTAACTTCTCCCTATTATATCCACACAGAATTTAGCAAACAGGTAACGAGAATACTCAAACTTATCAGGTAGAAGTTATCTTGATCTAACACCAAATTCTTGTAACCGATTTAATAGGAAATGTGTAGTAGTAAGAGGGGAGAATTAACAATCAAATCTTGGGAGTTAAAGGGTTAACCATTTATAACCCAATATCAGTATACAAATTCTCCATACTTTTCTCTATACATTTCTTATAGTGCTGACAAGGAGAGTTTCTTTAACCCTTTAACTCCCAGATCAAATTCGTAATTCTCCTTACCATCAGTCATACAATTCTTACTATCAGTCATACAACGCTGTTTCAGAGAATTTAGTATTGGATCAACTAATTATCCCCAAATTGATACATTTTTTTATTCTCACCACTTATCTGGTTGAAATTGTGAAAAGGTGAAATTCTGTCTTGGTCACTTGTGGGAGTTAAAGGGTTTAACAATCTAGAGCTTCTTTAGCAAGTGATTATTCCTTTTATTCTGCTGACCTGTCATGTGTGATTCAGGGATTAAATAGTGAGGAGAAATTAGATGCTTATCACTCCAAGAGATCATCACTCATATCAGAGAAGAAGAAGACAAATATACTACCTGACTATAACACTTCTGGGTCAAAATTTATTAAGCTACTCCTTTCCAGAAAAGCTAATTAAACTGCTGATTAAAAGTGAGTAATTTTTGCTTTGTGAGGAGGATAGCAGAATATTCTCAACTGGTTGCAATAATGGTTTAACTATACCTGAAGAGGGTTTACCTTTTAACCCCTAAGAGTAATTTCTCCTTACAATATCACCCCTAAATCAAACATTAAGGTCATGAGAGTAAAGGAGTTGATCACCAACTAAAGAAGCTCTCAATTGTTGAACAAATTCTCCTTGTTAGAATCCTAGGAAATGTCTAAAGAGTAGTATGGAGAATATGCATACTGATGTTAAGGTGTAAAGGTTCACCAAACCTCCACTCTCTGATATTCAATCTAATATCCTTTCAAAAATGTTAAGTTTGCGAACACTATTTTGCCTTGACATATGTTAGCAGGATTATTATTGATGATGGCCTGCTTCAAATATTTGCAAAGGTTATTATGATAATAATTCAGCTTACTTAGAGTGATTTTTGATTGAGTGTCATAAAATCAAGTTCAAAGCAATCATAGCAGCCAATCATGAAAAGGAAAACATCTTGAGGAGCCATTTAATTAAATTAAAACAAGCAAACTTCCTGAAGTAAGGGATGACCCAAGCGCCCACTAGTTGCAGTTGGTTTAGTTTTGAATCTGATCGGTTGAGAAAAGGGGCAAGTTTCTGAACAAATCACAGAGCGAAGTAAAGCAAAACAAAGCAATCCCACGTTACTTTTGACACTTATTTGAAAATTGCTCTTCTACAGAAAGTTGTGTAAACAAAAAATTCAGGAAACCCTGAAAATTTAGAAAATCAACAAACAAGCCGAAGATATAATTCGTTTGTCTGAGTGATTGGTTGTAACATAATAAACAATCTCGAAATAGTCAAGTTGTTTTAAATGGTATTCAATTTTTGCGCAATTATCACGGGAAAAATCCCGCACTCCTTGATGTACCCGCGGGAAAGCGGACGATGGCCTTCTTTCGACTTTAAATCGACTTTTCAGGACTATGAAATATAACCATACCACTTTCAAAAATATCATTATGTACTAAATAATACTTAAGAACAATTCAAATCTACTTACATAGCTCAGCAAGAGTTGTAACAGGACCATCTGGCGAAAACGTAGGAGTGAAGGCTAGATCTCCGCCATTTTCCTCAAGCGCCTTTGCGTCTACCGTACAAGCCGCTTCGTGTTGCAGAGAAACTCCACTTAACTCGTCTTGGGTGTTAGTTCCATCCACTTCCATCTATTCTCTGTTTTACTTCCGGTGAGCCAAAACAAAAATAATTTCGAATTTCGAGCTCCGATGAAATCCACGTCCGGGAACTTCAGACACGCCAAAAGTTGAAAATCCCGAATGTTCAAAGACCCGTACGTTTGCCAGTTCGGCCGAGTTAGGTTTTATCACGTAGTTACCTACATTAGATCGACTATTCCACCGCCAAAATTGAATAAACCTGAAAAAAACTTAAACTGTGCGTGGATGAATTGTCAATAAGACAACAACGATGACAAAAAAGACAAAATTCGCCCCATAAACTTAACGATTCGACCACAAAATTTGGTCGTATGAAATGTCTTTCGCATTTCAAGGGGCAGGTTGCCCCCGAAAACAAGGCGCCTTCAGATATGTTGACCAGCGGTTTTGCAAATTAACGGTAGCCACTGTTTTGGATCCAAAAGGCCCCTCTACTAATTATCCACTAATTTTTACCCGTTTGATTCACAATTATTGAAAAATATATTTTGAATTTCTCATTACTTCCACGTTTATTGAAGGAAATCCAGGATGTTTAAACGCTGGCGTGATAAGAAAAAAGACAACGAACAGGTAGTAGTTTTTGATCAAGCATTCGATAGTGAGCTCGTTGGAGAGGTCACGACACGTACCTCAATATCAGCTTGAATGAAATTGCTTTCTTTTTTCACATTTCACAGCAAGAGAGTCCAGCGAATACAAAACAGGCTCAGTCTCCGAACGAAACCTCCGTAAGTGTGCGGTTTTCAGTTGTTTGATCAAACTTCTCTCTGATGTGATGTCACTTGAAAATGAAATTGATCGATAGCGTGCACATGTACGTACGAGGAATTACCTCATTCGCGCGCGTCAACTGCGGTCGATCGAGGTCACACAATGAACTAGCACGTATGCATTTTCAATATACATGTTCAGTTTACAAAAGTATGCCCGTAAAAATAATTTTTGATTTTTAATACGCCAAGTGTTAAGCTTGAGTTTGTAGTCCTTCTGAGACCGTCACGTCTTCAAACAATTAAGTGACATATATAGTGTCATATGTACTGTTGTACATATTATGTCTGCTAGACTTACTTGGATGCAGTTGGAAATCTAAGAGTACGTAGGGAATCAATATCCAAGCATTACGTTGAACGCAATGCAGTTTATCGTATGTAAATTAAGCATTAAACTTGTTACAAATCATGGAGCTGTGTTACCACAATATTTTACGCCATGTAAGTTTGGTTTGTGACAGTTTTAATGCACGACAATGTATGCATTTTAAGAACTATTTGTGGTAAAATGAGTTTAAAGATGATGATCATCAGCAATAAAAAATACTTGAACAGTTTGCTCACATTAATGCATCTGCTCTTTCAGATGATAAAGAACATCAATTTTCTAGCAGACCATCAAATTGTATTAACTGTAGGGTCACAATCTCCTTTTTTTCCTGGAATGTGCTCTAGCTCTTATGGCTGGCAGCTTTTTCCTCCTGCTACCTGCCCTTTAATGTTTCAATACTCCTTCTCCCAGAATCTTTCAATCATTCTAACTTCATGACTGCTTTTACCAGGAAGTGAACCCCTCTGTCCACCATGTCATTATGAGGTGGTAACATATTATCATTAGAATTTAAAAGTATCACAAGATAAAGTTGGATTTAAATTTGTTTGGGGGTTTTCAGGCTTTGTATGGGTTCTGGAAAACTTAAAAAGTCCTAGAACTTTATTTTGACATTTTCTTGGACTGGAAAGTCTTGGAAAAAGACTATAGGTCCTTGAAAGTCCTGGAAATCTGCTCAACTCAAGTGACAAAGTTTTCAGAACTTATGTTTTAGAAATGTATGTGGACCTATAGGGAATTAATTTTACAATCTTGGAAATGAAAGAGTTTAAGGTGAAAATTTAAGTCCTGGAAGAATCAATCTGAGTCCTGGAAAAGTCCTGGAAAAGTCCTGGAACATTCCTTGAAATTTGTTTCTGATAAAGGGTACAAACCCAGGGTTGTGAAGAGCAGAGAATAGTCTGGTTTGCTTCCTAACATGCACTGATAACATGAAAAATTTAGTTTATTTCTTAGATTTACCCCTGTTGGTTTTGGTTTTGGTTTTGGTTAATTATAATTGTTATTTTGTTATCTTTGACAGGGGTTCATTTGTCCAGTATGTATGATCTCCTTCAACTCCCCAGAGGATCTTCAAGTACATTTTGAAACATCTCATGATGACAGTGAACCAGCACCAACTAGTGGGGTAAAAAATTATTCTCCAAGTAAAAAATGAAAAAAGCAATTAAGCAAATAGCAGCTGAATATCACAAAGGAAAAAGGTTTTTTGTCATTACCAGATCCTGATTTAATTGTTTACTTGATAATTTTTGACGCAGCTCAATCTTTTGACATGCGTGGTACTTAAATCCATGCTACAAACTCAAAACACAACAGGCATGTTGAGCATTTTGACTTAAATTCTGTTGACAATGTGATACTAGAACCAATTAAGATGAAATAAGAATTAATTGGGAATTAATTTTATTTGTTTATAGTTCATTGCTTCTCTCCCAAACCTTGTCTGTACATAAATAACCTGTTTTTTTTAATTTCTTCCATTGTCACATAGTCTGGCACTAGGTAGTAAGGAGGATAAATAAAATCTTAAGCTGCTCTGATTGACTTTTAACTTTCTAATGAAAATAGCTTTTTTGCTTTTTTCATTGACTAGTTTTTTTCCTTTGTTTAATTTTTTTCTTAATGTAACCAGGATTTCATCTGTCCTCTATGTATGAAAAAATTCAATGGTCCAGGAGAATTGCAGAGTCATTTTGATCAGGTTCATGAGACCCAAAATGATTCATCAGCAGTAAGTAATATACTTCTGGGTGAACAGTGAATCTCATAACACCAACTGAAGATATGATAAGAAATTCTCTCAACTAGCTGTTACATATCCCCTGTAAAGTTACTAGGAGGAATTCTTGTTATATCAGCATAAAATCCTCTCTAAAGGGTTGCCTTTTCTTGTCACCTGTCTACTGGATGATACATCAATATTAATCCTTTCACTTCAAAGAGTGACCAAATCTTGATTTCTCCTTACAACATCCATGTAATTTTTAGAAAAAAGGTAATGAGAAAGGAAAAATATATCAATTAGGGGATAATGTTTGATTTACCTTTCACCCTTACATCAGTATGCATTTTCCATACTGTTCCCTAGACATTTCTTAAGTTGTTGATAAGGAAAATTTATTTAACAATGAAGAGATTCTTTAGTTTGTGATCATTTCCTTTATTCTCATGACCTTAATGTGTGATTCAGGGGTGATATGGTAAGGAGAAATTAGATACTTGTCACTCTTGCGGTTCAAAGGGTTATAAGGGAGATTATCACTAAGTACATATTATTAACTACAGTTGTTTGGCACAACTGGTACTGATTAGGCTAGCCAAAGGTTCTTCAACCAGATCTGCTGCTGTAAGATATAATCAGGGTTGTAGCTAAGAAATTTCACATCCAGTTGAAATTTCAAGAGAGGCAGCTCAAAGGTGACATATGATTGTGCCCATTGTGCTTTACTGAGTAATTGTTAAGCAAAAATCCAGCTGGCGATTGCTGCTTTTTCATCCGCCAAATTTTGCTTGCAGCTAGAGCTTGGCAACAAGCCTGCACAATAAGTATATTGCCCCTTATGTAAAAATATAGCCGAGAAACCAATTCATAGATTTCACCCACTTTTCAGTCTATGGGCTTGATAAAAGTGTTCATTATCTATAACTGCATCCCAAGTCATATGTGATCAGTAATATCTATTGGAGGGTGTAGCAGGTTATTGTTTTGAGCAACCCTTCACTTAATTCAAGATCCATCATTTGGAATTGAAAACTTATATTTTTAATGTGTAATTATCATTACTATTACTATTATTATTATTATTATTATTATTATTATTAATAGTAATTGTTGTAGTAGTGGCATTACTGGTTTTATTGTTTAATTCATGTTTAAAGGAAATATAGAAGAAGTGCATCTGAAGTGATATGTTGTCTTCCTAAAAAAACCAAAGCATATCTTCTTTATTATTTCCACTTATATGTATTCCAACCTTCTAGATAAAACCATCAGATGCACACTTGTCAAAAAGTTTACCTGCAGACACCACAAAAGTTTGGAACGAAAGACATGGGTCTTTGCTGTCATTTGATGAGGAGTTACCAGTTCCCAGAAAAGAGTCGGAAGTTTCTCGCTTGTCGAATCAGCTCAAAGAACTGGAGGATAAAACTCAAGAAATTATGTATCTACAGCAGGAGCTTAATGAGTTGAATGCTTCATTAAAAGAAGAAAAGTGGTACTCTGCCGCTTTGAAAGAAGAGGTTGACAAGATGACAAAAGAGAAGGTGGAATTGGAGGAAAAAGTCAGCTCACTAGAGATGGTTAGTGGTAACAAGTCAGCCTGTGGTTTTAGGCCAAAAACATACCCTGTATTTTATACACAGTAAGTGCATACATACACTTCTTTAATTAAAGATCTTGTTTTCATTTTTGTTCCAGGAGAAACAAACGTTGGAGAAGGATTCAGAAAGGAAGCTTATGGATGAAAAAGAAAACAGTGTTAAATGTAAGTACCAGTTTCTTGGTGGAAATTTTACAGTGGTTATATCTTTAAATTTTACAGCCTATTTCAGTAGCTTGCCAATAACACCAAATGATGGTGTCTTAAAATTGTTTTTGTCTAATGCACAGTTTAGGTTTTTTAATAACTTGTAACACTTGGGAACAGTTACCACTGATAACTGAAATGTTTGATAACTAAAAAGAGTTGTAAATGCATAAAGGGGTAACTTTCTAAAGAAACTGTGGTGCTGCATTGATGGGTGAGTATAACAGGGTAATTTGGTATTATCAACTAAGTTAATAACGTAAATTGGCCACCGTAGAGTTTCAAAGCTGGTATTTCGAGTGTTACCTCTTCATCAGAGTGAATGATGGAAAGGCTAATGCTTAAAATGTCAGCTTTGAAATTCAACTCAACTCAGTCAATGATACTAAATTACCCTAAAAAGAATTGCAGTTCATTTCTGATTTTGTTTTGCAGCCATGGCAGAGTTTGCACAGCTTAAAGTGGAGTTAGCCAAGGCACTAGAAGCACAGACTGGAAGTCAGAGTGAACAGATGAACTTAGCACAGAGAACTTCACAACTGGTATGAACACATATGAAAACTTAGCTTATGACAAGTCAAGTTGAACTTGACAGTTTATCTTAGTTTACAGATGGCTTAGTATTCTTCATCTCAAAATGGAAGATGTGAAATATCATGTTCAAATTTAAGGCTTGTGTAACTCCAACCTCTTTACTTTTAATTAGTTAATTCTCAGAGGTGATAAACATGTAACTTCTCCTTATAACATCCATACATTATCCAACAAACAGGTGATGAGAATACTCTGGGTAGAAGTTGTTATCTTGATCTCACTCCAAATTCTCCTAACAAATTTACTAGGAAATGTGTATCAGCTAGAGGGGAGAATTTGTGGTCATATCTTGGGAGTTAAAGGGTAATAAATGCCCACAGCTCAGCTGCAATACTTGAAAAAGCCTGTAAATGGGCCCTCATTTTTAGCATTGGTGCACTAGTGTATCTTTGGTTGGAAGTTTGAGGCACTGAGTGAAGCAAGCTGGAGAGAATTCTGCAAGGGGTCTGGGTTGTTGGTTATATTTAAAAAAAGGGAACTACAATCAATACAATCAAACCCCTTACACCCTAACATCAGTATACACTTTCTCCATACTGTTCTCTATACATTTCCTATGATACTTACAAAGAGAATTTGTTTAACAATCAAGAGCTTCTTTAGTTGGTGATCATTTCCTTTATTCTCATGACCTCAATGTTTGTTTTAGGGGTGATACAGATGGGAGAAAATAGTTACCAATCACTCCTAGGGGTTAAAGGGTTAAACATTCAAGTGCAAACTTGAGCCAAGTTGAAATTACATTTATTTACCTACTCTTAACTGATCACCACAAAGTCTTAATTTTATCTCATAATATACTGAGATTATAAATATTATTCTGACAGTATCTAAGAGTATCTGCTTGTTATGATAGGCGACAGAAAATGCTGGACTTAAAGCAACTTTGGAAGAGGAAAAAAAGCAACAGAATGCTTATAGTGAAGAAATAAGCAGGTTGAAGGTGAGTCATGTTTAGTACTTGTGGTATGAGTCAGGTACTGAGTTATCATATGTTGTTATATGACATGTGAAGGGTAACTCTTGGTTAGTTTATCACCATTCTAACAAAGCTGTGGGAAACTTTTTTTGATTTGATTTCAAGAGAGCTAAAACAGTCATCAAAATTGCCGACAGTTTTCAGGGTTTTTGCTAGCTTTTTGAGTTGCTGAAGGCCTGTTCAATAAGAAAGTTCAATTTTTGTTTTAACATTTGCAAGAGTCATTTACAAAAAAGTTAAGTGGGTAGAATAAAGATTGAAGGCCTGGGCTTAAGGGCCTATAGGCTGGCCACACCTCTGGCTTTTTCAGTTTACAAAGTGCATTTACTCCTTGCTTCATGTCTTTTCAGGAACAACTAGAAGATAAAACAAGACTCAATGAAAACTTAGAAAAACAGCTTTTGCAAAGGTATGTATTTCAAAAGAAAAGTGAAAAAAAAAAATATTGGACATGTTTTGCTTAAACATCCATGTACTGAACCATCTGTCTGTTTGTCTACCTAACTGTCTGCTTGCCTACCTGCCTGTCTGTTTGTCAGTCTACATATCTGTCTGCCGAACTGTCATTTCCCTCTGACAAAGGGCTAACACAAGAAACATCAGCCTTGAAACTATTTACAGTGGCCAATTTATGTTATCAATTCAGTTGATAATTCCAAATTGCTATGCCTAACTGTCTGTAAGCCTGTCTGCCTAACTGTCTGCTTGTCTGTTTATCTGTCTTACCAACTGACTGACTGTTTTGCTTTCTGTCCAACTATCCCTGGGATCTGGGACTGTAAATTTTCTTTCTTTAAATTTCTGTATATCTCCATTACTTTTGTTCCTTGAATTTATTTTTAAATGCAATACAACCATTCCTTTATGTCTTTCTCTTCACTTTCTCCAAAGACCCTCTGGAGATGAGGTAATCACTTTACAGAATCAGCTCTCTACTGCACAGCAACAAGTGGCATCCCTTCGGCAAGAAAAGGAACAGGAACACAAATCGTGGCAGGAAAAATTCAATGCAACCTTAACAGAAGTCAACAGGTGTGATCATCAGACTACTAAGGATAACAATGTGTTACTCACTTCTTGTTTTCATCTACCTCTGACCGACGGCTTGTGATTTCATATTTTTCAGCTTACAAATGAAAGTAAAGGAACTTGAAGTTGAAAAAGCAGCAAAAATTGAACAAGTACAGAGGTAAATGAATTGTCAAGATGAGGAAAGTTATGTTGAAGAACAGTTTATTTTTTGTTTTGAAATATTTGACTTGTCAGTGATGTGACATGATTTGACAGCTTGCAGACAGCAGTAACAGCGTCTACAGAAAACAGAAAGCAAGCTCAAGAACAGAACCAGGAACAACAACGTAATCTTATCAACCTTCAGCATGACCTCAGCCAGGTAGGGGCAAAGTTAGGCGACAGCACATGCTCCAGAAATGATCACAGGGAAAGTAACAATTATCAAACTAAGAGAGCACAACTTCCAAATGAGGAATACTGAAAATTTCAAGTAAAAGAGAAATACTAGTCTGAATTAATTTTTATCATTTACAGATTTCCAGGTTGATTTTTGTATCTTGGTTGATATCAGTGATGACATGAGCTGTTAAATGTTTTTACTTTTCCAGGCTAATGTTGTTCTGAAAGAGAGGGAAACATTCATTGAATATCTCCAAAAGCAGCTCAATGAGGCAAAAGGCAAACTGGATTCTGAGGTCAGTAATAGTTGCTTTTAAGCAGTGATTGCAAAATGCATCACTCAGCTTTTGAAAACGATGACCATCACTTGAAGACCCATCCAAAAACCACCTTATAAAGTTGGGTTCCCCACTGAATACTAATGTTATTATTACTGATAATAGTAGTAGTAGTGATATAATCATTATTGCCACTGATCGTGATTGCTCTCGACAGGTGACTTTAAAGGAAGAATCTAATCAACAAGTGCGAAACCTGCAAAACCAGTTGGAAGAAGAACAGAGACAAGCTCAAAACAGGTTTGTAACCATTACTGAAATTCTCCTTACAATATTGATAGATTTTCAAGTCAAAGGTAGTGAGAATTGAGAGAGAAATAGGAACCACTGAATGTCATTTGTTTGAACAACGAATACGTTCCTTAGATCTAAAATTGAAACACTCTGTGGAGAATTCAAATTTAGAACTCAGAGGTGAAAAATTTCAAAAAGTTTTAAGCTAAGATAATTATTATTCTTTTTATAACCGTAAACTTAACTCAACCCTTCAATCCCCATGAGTGACGAAGATAGAATTTCTCCTTACAACATCCATACAATATCAAGCAGACGAGTGATGACATTAAAGAAGAATATCAATCAGGAGATTATAAGTTGATCCAATACCAAATTCTCAGAACCAACATCATGAGAAATGTATGGCAGACAGTAAGGAGAATTACTAATAGATCTGGTAGTGAAAGGGTTAAGGTAAGACTGTCTGTTGGGTCTGTTACATTTCTTTGTATATAGGGAACTGTCGATTAAAGATCTTGAAAGCAGTCTCCAACAAAAGAAGGATGATATCGCAAGATTTGAAGAAGAAAGGACGGACCTCATTGCTAAGGTATATTACAGATAAAGTCAGCACTTGATCGGTGGACTATCCCTGTTTCCATAACATAAACTACTGAGAGTATTGTTGCTCCAGAGCAGTTTTCAATTGCGTTCCAAAAGTAATCCGGGATTGCATTCAGTTGGTTTTCCTTTACTTCGCTTTGTGATTGGTCCAGAAAACTCGCGCCTCTCTCTCTCTCTCTCAGTCAATCATATGCAAAATAAAAACCAATCACGTCTTGGTTGCCCGCGTTTTTTCCGTTGGTTTTACTTTGAGTTCTCATTGGTTATTAACGGTATTTTCCTTTCTTCCGACTGGCTGTTGTGATAACTTTGGTTTTATTAACTTTCAGATTGAAGCTGGCGGCGGAGCTGAAACAGTGATAGAACAACTCAAACAAGAAAAGGTACATTTTGTACACGTACATCGGTATCATTTTCATGATTGTTAGAAGTGTTCTTGGAAGTTGCAGCTAATTTCGATAACTTTTAAATTACTAGTTTCGTTAATTGCACATTTTTTTTTAACTTGAAAATTATCGACTTCGTTACGTTGTGTTGATTACAACTGATATCTTAGAACAGGATAAGAGAGATGGAATTTTTAAAGCTTTGTCGTTGAGAAGATAAAGCTGTGCTAAGTCCATCTGCTTTCATCTAATTTGATTATGTAATGGTACTATGGACCTTAAAGACCCAGTTTTGACCAATATGCATTGCGTAGGGCGTTGGCTGTCGGCGGCCATTAACTTGATGTTGATTATTCCACAAGCTTCGGGAAAACAATATAAGCCTAGCTCTCGTGAAAACCATGACAAAAAACAGACGTGTGCATGGCATACTGACAAATACTGGGTCTTTACTATGAGTCTCCTTTAGTTTAGTGGTAGAGCATCTGAAGAACCAATCAGAAGGCCGAAAGTTCCACTCCTATTAGGAGCACTCGGAGTTCCTTTTCTCCTAAGATGCGTGCGTCATTCACTGACTTACATCACCGTTCACTTATATTCTAGTTGTTCACCACAATTTTGAAACTGCTGATCGTTGTAGTGTACAGTTTGGTTGTCATATACGAAATCTCACGTGTGGTATTGCTCACTATCAAGTTATCTTTGGGTTAGTGGTAGAGCATCAGAGTGCAGTGCAAAATTCATAAGATCTGGCGTTTGATTTCCTTTAGGAAACGCAATTTTTTTTTCTTTAATTTCACGCGCGTTACAAAATAAATCGCCGGCGTGTCTTCCTTGACACAAATTCTCAGAATGAACAACAGGAAAATGTCCTTTGCTAATGGGAAAACTGATTCAGGAATAACATTTCAACTCGTAGGAAAGTTATCAGACCCGGCTTCAGCAGCTGGAAGCTACGCTTCAAACTCAAACACAAGAACATTCGAAGAAGATTGAGGAGATGCATAAGCAACAGAAAAAGGTTGGGTAGGCATTTCAGAAGATTACTGTTGTAATAAGTGTTTACTTGATGTATTTGTGTCCGACGTTTATAATCGTACAGGTTGAGGAAGAGCTTGCGAAAGAAAAAGACAACACTGCTAAGCTTGAGAATACAGTGTCAGATCTTACATCACAGTGTACGATTTCGTTACAACAAACGGAGGAGTTCAGAAAAGAAGTGAAAGAGAAAGTGAGTGCGATGAACTGTTTGATAGTAAAATGGCAGACTGACTGGTTTCATGGAAAGTTAAGTGGTCACGTTAGGTGTCCTCTTGTTAATACAAGACAGCAGCAAAGGCCTTACTTGCTATCAAAAGATGTTGTTAGAGCATGTTTGCATGTTTACGACCGAGACTCGAGTGTTTCTGTCGATGTAGACAACCTCAGAAGATTGCGTCATTGTTGGTGTCTTCTGTGTTGCTAGTACCTTTGCAAAAAAAATTAAGGTCATTATCCTTTGTTTCACGATTTAGTCACTTTCGATGTGGATCGCAACGTTTAGACTGCTTAATTTTGGAAGTCGTCATTTGTCGAGGAGGTCGACAAATTACGCTTTTCCTTTTGAAGCATATTACCGTTCTTCGATGGGATTGGCGCATATAGTGCAGTTTGCAATCGAAACTTTGCGAATGACATCGGAGGTGACAACATCTCGAAAGAAACGATGTTACTTGAATATGAATAACCACAATATTTTCTACGATTTTAATTTAGCCCAACCATTCTTGTATTCTGTTCAGAGTGAAAGCCTCGTGGCTCTCGAAGCCGCCAAGGCCGCTGAAAAGTCTGTCTTGGATGAACAAGTAAGATCCTCTCAGGAGACTTTGCAGGAGAAGCTTAAGGAACTGAGTGCTCTTCAACAGCAGAATGTTAAGGTAGAATGAGTAGAAACCATAGTATGCGCTGGCTTTTGAGCAATGACAGAATTTGCGACGGCCTAACGATTAGCGCGCTGTTCTCTGGGTCGAGAGGTTTGGGTACGAGACCTGGTCGGGTCTCTTCTGATGTGATGTCGGGTAGGATACTTTACTCAACAGTGCCTCTCTCGGCCCAGGTCCCGGTTGTTCGAAGGGTGGATAAGGCTATCCGTTGGATCACTCTCCTTGCGGTGAAAAGCGCTGCACGATTTTGTTAACCCTTATCCGCTGGATAGCGACTTATTCGCTGGATAGCGTTATCCACTCTTTGAGCAACTGAGCTCTGGAGGAGTATACATGGGTACCGGCGAACTGTAGAAATCTGGGGGGGAGGGGTGAGCGGTAACCTAGAATAGACTGCCATCCTATCCATGGACAGCAACAATATTCCAAGTCGCTTCGTGGTTGAAAAGCTGCGATTAGCTCTGGCTGGATGGGCCACTTGGAAAGAGTGCAACCGTTTTTGAAGTGAAATATTTGCATTGTGTCTATGATGTGGTGCAGTCTACCTCTCATAGATTGTCACTGCCTCACCCAGTGTAAAAAGTGTCGATATTGTAAGTATGTATAGTATGTAGAGTAAGCTAATTAATTTTAAAAATCGTAATGTAAATAGTGTAAGTACCCCATAATTTGTAGTGTAAGCTAATTAAAAAAAAACCTTTTGTAAGTAGTCGACCTTTAACGTGAGTATCGATAAGTATAAATGGCAAGAGAGGTAGTACTGTAAGTAACGTAAGCATTGTTAGTATCGTAATTACTGTCAGTGATAAGATTACTGATAGTGTTAGTACAGTACTGACGTATGTAAGTTATATGTTGATAAAGACATTTGTTTATTTAAAAAAAAACCTTTTTTAGTGGCTCATACCTTGACTCTGGCTCGAAAAGCGTGGCTTAAACCCATGAGTAAGGTCATTGTGTTGCATTCTTGGGCAAGACATTGGCGCAGTTGTAAAGCAGTTTATTTATACAAGTTATTCTGAGCATTCATTTGTAAACTGTCAGTAATTCTGCTGGTATCACTGGTAATATCTGATTATCATATATTTTTGAAAGTTGAAAGAAGATTATGACAGCATAAGGGAAAGCCACACAAAACTTGAAATCCAAGTGAAGACCTCAGAAATGGAACTGGAAAATCATGCAAAAAGGGCAGCACAGCTTGAAGCTGAAGTGAAAGGAAAGGTATTGAATTATCCTATTATTTTTTCATTTGTTTGCGATATTTAAACAAGCAGGCCCAGTTTAGCTATAAAGCTGGTTGAAATTGCGGCCGGTGTAAACAATTTTAAGGTCAGACCACAACACTGGGAGCTACGTTCTCTCTGTTTTGCAACAAGTGTGTGGGTTCGTGAATGTTCCATTCTAACCAGTACTGTGAAGATGCAGGAGACATGGCCTATCATTTATTGTCCTCATCCGAGAAGACTAGAAAGTCCAATCTTTTGCAGATGTCATAGCAAAGGCAGCGTTATTTTGAGACCCTGAGTGTTGGTCCGGTTTGGGGCTTGAACCCTCCCCCACGACAGTACGGCGCTCTGTACGTGAGCTAACCAAACTTGCTAAGTAAGATAAGTTAAACTCCAGTCTGAGAGGTCTCATTTTTACCTATGAGTACAGAAAGCTGAATGGTGCCAATGTTTAAGGAAGGAATGTAAGTTCTCAGCTGCATTTCAGCCACGGGAATCAGAGGCTTGTGAACAGGCCCCCGCTGCAGGACGCTCGTCCCTTCGCCCGAGTTGGGGACCGTTTTGTCGGGGTCCAGCTCTGATAGTAATGAGTACTAGATTCTTTTGAGACCTCTCACGGCTCGCGTTGCTTAAGGTGTCATACTTTCCCGCGGGCAAAGACGCAATCGTGCCGAAGCACTTAAAATATGGGCCTGCTTGCTGGCTTGGGAATTGGTGGACATGTCTGGTGATTTTTTTTATTTTTTCTGTAGGTTGAGGTAATGACATTGCTACAACAAGAAAAAGCGTCAGAGAAAAGTTCCTTGGAAAAACAAATTGATGACGCGCAGCAGTCCTTAAGCAAAAAGGAAAAAGAAATTTTGGTTTTAAGAGGAGAACTGCAACAGGTAATTGGCTTGATCTAACACTTCTAAATTAAAAAAAAAAAAGTTAAAAGTTGTGCATCATGAAACAGACTTAAATTTTCAGACTCCATTCGCCATGTTCTGAAATAAATACCCATTTTTTTTAATTTTTAAGTATAAGGAAAAATCCGCAGAGAGTGTCAAATCTTTGGAGAATGAAAAGGAACAACTGTCATTGAATTTGACATCTACCAAGACTTTACTGGAAGAAAAGGTTTGTACTACGATAAGTCACAACAATTATAAAATGCAGAAGTCTCCACCGTTAACCCTTTGACCGCGAAGAGTGACTAGCATCTAATTTCTCCTTACAATAACACCCCTGAATCACACATTAAGGTCATGAGAATAAAGGAAATGATCACCAACTAAAGAAGCTCTCGATTGTTAAACAAATTCTCCTCGTCAGCACCTTAGGAAATGTGCAAATCACAGTATGGAGAATATGCATACTGATGTAAGGATGTAACGGGTAAAAGTATTTTAGTATAACACTGCACTGACTGTAGTGTGTAGGAGCGAGGGGAATGAAATATGATGACGTGTTCTGAGCAACAGCTGGGTGTGGATAGATGTTCCTCTGACTTTTTCTTCACTCTTTTCCATCCCTAACCCGTTACACCATAACATCAAGATGCATATTCTCTATACTGTTCTGCGTGCATTTTGTAAGTTGCTGAAATAATTTGTTATAGCAATACAGAGCTTCTTTAGCCGGTGATCATGACCTTTGTTCTCGTAACCTGAATGTTTGCTTCAGGGGTGATACCGTGGGGCGAAATTAGATGCTCGTCACTCTCAAGGGCCATGTCTAATCTCAAGCAGTGTCTGGGTTTGAAATTGCGCGTCGACGCCGGAAAATGGCGTGTAATATTTTAAGCAGGTTGTAGTTTACTTCGCACATTTTACTGAAGACTTTTTTCTTTTTTTTTTTTTTTTGACCAGGAAAAACTTCTCTCCAATTTGGGATCTGAACAGCAGGATGCAAGAAAGGAAATCATTTCGTTAAAAGAGCAGTTAGCGTCTACTTCACAAGTAAGTTTAGGCGAGAGCAGTTCTTTGTTCTGTTACCCTCACATTTCATTTTTGTTCTCAAAAATTAGGTTCTACTTACAGCTTGATTTAAAGAACTTACTTAGAGCAGTTTTCAATTGGGTGTCGAAAAGCAAAACCAAAGTGATCTCAGTAACCAATCGCTCTGTCGAAATGGAACATCTTTTCCATGTCAATGAATTGCGTTCTGCAGAAACGATCTACTTTATTAATTGTTGCTATCGTTACGTTTCACAGTCCCTCAAGGAGAAGACCGATCAGATGGAAAGTACGAATAAACAATACGTGCAAGAAAAGGTCAGCTTAAATATGTTTTATAGTATTTTTGCTCCGCTCCTAACATGTGACTTCGTAGCTCAATTGGTGGTAGCACCCTACTAGTATTAGGGGAGGGGGGACGGGATGGATTGATCGCCGACAAAACCTGAATTTTTCCAGATTTCTTAAATGTAATGACTTCATTGGAAGTAAACTTGTAAGGTTCAATTCGGCAATTTTCTTGGGGGAGGGGGGGGAGGAAAAATAAGTTTTCCATGAAAGTATTCATCAATAAGAAACAAATGTTCTGTTTTTAAATCATAAGTTTGAGCCTTTTTTGCGGCAATATACCAAGGTAAGGAAAGCTAACGGTTACCACCAATGAAATGAAACCTCTCAATGTGTCTGCTGACTGTGTGTTTTTTTTTGTTGATAGCAAACTTTAGAGGCTAAACTGTCAGAATTGGATGCGTCCAGCAAGAACCAAGTTTCAGAGTTGATGGGAACACTAAAAAACGTCAAGGAGAAGTTAAAAGAAAAAGAGGTATTAGGACAACTTATATGAAATAAAACACAGACCTAAAGACGCTTGTAGCGCTTATCGTTAAAGTTTCTTATCGCATTACCCTTTTTTCGCATAAATGACGTCCGAAACTAACCGTAACTTTTTCTTTTAAAATTTGTAAATGGGTTCAATTGACCCTTTACACCTTAACATCAGTATGCATATTCTCCATACTGTTCTTTATACATTTCCTAAGATGCTGACAAGGAGAATTTGTTTACCGATCAAAAGCTTCTTTAGTTGGTGATCATTTCCTTTATTCTCATGACCTTAATCTTTCATTCAGGAGTGATATTGTAGGGAGAAATTAGATGCTAGTCACTCTCAGGGTTTAAAGGGTTAAAATAAAGTGGAAAACCTCTAAATGCCTGCCGTTAGTGACCAGCCCTTATTTATCACTTGGGGGAGGGGAAAGGGGGGTCGGAGGATTTTCGAGGGGATCACGTGGTTTTCAGGGGAACCGGAGGAGGATCAGTCGTCGCTAACATATAATGGGGAAACTATAGAAAATTGACTTGCAATTGGGGAGGGGGGAATCCATAAATGAATTCTGTGAAACAACCGAACTGTTACCCCTTTTCGCCCTTCCTTCCCCGCCTTCCCAGGAGGAGACGTCATTCCATCTAGCGAGAGGAGGTAAACCTCTTGAAATGTAATTTCTGACGTTTGAGTGACATGGGAACGAATTAGTCAGAAATTAATATTCTGACGGCACGTTGAAGAGGTTCGCATGGCATCACGTTAGTTTCGGATTATTTAAGCATTTCACGGGGAAAATTAAGTCATTCTACGTCGGTCAGTCTTAGGTTTGACCACTTTCTTTTTTTTATTTAATGTAATTTTGTTTTACAACTCTCTGTAAAATATCACTGTTTTCATCGAATTTTCTGTGTGATTAGAAGTGTAACTAGGTTTATTTTAGTTACCTTTCCACGGGGTACAGTGCTGCTGCATTAGATGAGGAATACGTTTCCACATATTTTTTGAACACTTCTAAAGAGTGGTTTTTTAGTGGTTTTTCGTATTTGGCGTAGCACAGCCTACTTTAGTATAACCCTTCAGTTTCAGTGAATACTTGCAGTACATTGCAGATTGCAGTAGGATGTGTAGACTACAAGACTATCTGACTCATCCTAAATAAACTTTCACATTGAATATCTCGCCTGAGTGTAGTCAGAATCCTCACACCTCGGCAACGGGGTAACCTTCGCCAAGCGTAATTGTGTATTTGTTTTCAGGAAATGTGCAACAAGCAAGTCGAAGAATGTCAACAGCTTCAGTCAAAGGTTGGCCCTATGTCATCATGAACCAGCTTTATCTAAAGTTCAACGTGCAAATTTCCCTTACTTGCTTCTTTTAATGTTAGTGGTGAGAACTCTGTGCTCAATCAAGAAAAATAATCTTGCACTAATGATGGTCGATTTTTTTTTTCGTTAAGAGTGTATTGCATACTATCTTTAACAAATAGAAATCATCCATTTTTTTTTTTTGGAAGAGAGGACAAGGAGCTTGTGTGTTTCCAATCTAATACTGATTAAACTTCACTGATAATGGCTTAAAATAACTTCATGAGGATGTTGCTTTTTATTGTTACAATAGAATATTCTGAAGAGGTTTGTGTAAAAAATATGACTGAATTCTTATTACTTTCTTTATCAGATTCAACAAGTTGAGCAGGAAAAATCTTCCGTCCAGGAAGCCATGACAGAACTTGGGAAGGTTCGTTTGTTTTGCCTTAACCACCCTCTCAACTCCCAGAAGTGATAAACATACAACTTCTCCCTATAATATCCACACATTATCCAGCAAAAACGTAATGAGAATAGCCAAACTCATCAGGTAGAGGTTGTTATCTTGATCTAAAGCTTCATTCTCGTAACTAATGAACAAGGAAATGTGTAGCAGCAAGAGGGGAGAATTAACAATCAGATCTTGGGTGTTGAAGGGTTAATTAAGTTTTTTTTTGTTTTTGTTTTTTTTTTCATTTTGTTTCCTCTTCGAATTAACTGTTATGTTATTTTCGTTTTGCATCAGACTCATCACGAACGGATTATAGTTCTAGAGAGTGAGTTTAGTGCCAAGGAATCAAAACTACATGAGCAGGTAAAAATTATATGAATGTATAATTTGTCATTTAATCTTAAAACATCCATTCTAAAACATCCGCGATTACCACGTATTTCATGGATGAGAATTGGGTGTAAGTAGTTTTAAGCAATAGAAATTCATAGTCTGACACAATTTTTTTTGTGTGGAAAAGATTGCTGAAAAAGAAAAAATTGCCGGTGAACTGCAGAAATCTCTTGAGCAAAAGGAAGAACGAATGAACGGAATGCAAAGGAAAATCGAGGTATGTAATTAGGGGAGACATTTAAATCAGTTACAGGAGGTGATCACAGTGTTTGGATAAACGCATGAAGCTGTGCAAACTAAAGGGGATTCCCTGGAAGGACCAAAGCGCGAAAAAACTTGTTTAACCAAGATGTCCTTTGAATTTATTTCGCATCTGATTGGTCGACATTATGGCGAAGAGCGTATTTTGGCCAATTAGAACAAAGAGAAATGCAAGAAAACGGCATTGGCCAAATTTCATAGGTTTAAATTTTGCAGCTAATTGTTTGAGAGAAATGCACGGAAGTTTCCACTAAAGAGTGGAGAGGCTGAAGCATAAAATATTAAAAGGGGATACTTAGGTAATATTCTGCGATGGCGACTATTGAAATATTTTTGGTTAAGTTTTTTTCCTGACGTATACTCTTTAAATCACCTATTGTAGGTTCTTGAGGAGGAGCTGAAAAAGGACTGTGAAAGCTGCAAGAACTATGAAGCTCAGCTATGTAAACTGCAAATTTCCTCCAAGGTAAACGGTCATGAACAACCCTTTACTCTGTAATGACAGACATAAGTTTTCTAATTGGTAAATTAGCATGGCTTTAAAACTCTTTGATATTGTCTCTGGTATTAGAGCTGGATCAAGAAGTCAAGGGTTTAGCAAGGAACAGACCAGCCCCCCCTCCCCTTTTTCTTAAGAAATTGTTACCCCCCATCCTCCTTAAGTGGAAACTTCTGCTTTCACTCTCGGAAGTAACTAGAGCAGAAATTTATCAGCCCTCTCACAACATCACACCCTGAAAATACGCCGTGATTTGCGCGTGACGTTTAGGAAGGGAATATCCCAAGCATCAGGCGGGATAACATGACAGGAAAATTGCCTTATAGCCCGCCTATGGCTTTTTTATTTAGTAATGTTCCCCAATATTCTCAAGCTTATTACCAAATTGCTTGTTTTTTTCAGGAGGCACAAGAAAAAATAGTTCGGCTTGAGAAGGAACAAGAAGACGCGCGAAGTGACATAAAGGTAATCTTTTACTCCCCAAACCCTCTCCTTAATTTTTTACTGCCGTTCAACGCCTTGGTAACAAATTTCTTTCTCTCCCCAGCCTTCCGCTGCCATGAAAAGATGGCGGTCATAATTTTCGCTAAGAAAATACTGAGCACTCGCTCCCCAAAATTACTCCTGCTCTGCAGGCTAGTTTTGAAAGTCAGACATAAATGTTGTCTTGTGTTAGTTAGATGGGGTTTTAGACTTTGGTAAGTAGTTATCATGGAAACATCAGGCTCACTTAGTTCACGCAGTTCTAAAATTTCCCATCCAGTGAGAGTTGGTGCGGAACCAAAGTGAAGGTTTTTTATTGGAAATGATACAGTGTATAAAGCAGCTTCCGGGAACTTACGAAATTCAATAGAAATTTCATTTTGTCATAAAGTGTGTCACTTCTTTAATCGTGTCAGAAACTGAAATCTCTCTAGGATATTCGCTTTTAATTATTACCGAAAAATTTTTAATGAAGTTTACCTTGCATAGCTTTAGCTAGAGTTTCTTGTATATTTGTATTCTTAAAACTTGACGGGTCGCGTATTTCTCTTTGTCAGGACCTTCAGAACCAAGTCACAGCTGGAGATGAAGAACTGGGACAATTCAAGAGACAGGCGGAGGAAATTGAGAGTAATTTGAGACAGACTGTAGAACAACTCAATGAAGTAAGTTTTCATCCAATGGTTTTAGAGCAATTTTTATAAGTGTCCAAACTAATCCTAAAACCTTTTTGCGCTTTGTGATTGGTCTAGAAATCTGACAACATTCTCTCAACCAATCGGATGCAAAGTTAAAACAAATCGCGACTCGGTCACCCGCGTTTTCCCGCCTTTCAGTTAGTTTTGCCGTCTGCGTTTTCCTGCGGTTGACACAGTCTGCTTGTACTCCGAGTTCTTATTTGGATGGGCTGTGATTTGGTTTTACGACACTCATATTATTACAAATTCTATTACTAGACGACATAACTTCCTTATAATAACACTATTCAGGCCGTGATGCAAGGTTGGTGATACGAATTCTCAATTACCCAGGAGTATCGAAAAAAAAAAGTCTTGCGGTGAATTTGTTAGAATCACTTAAAACGTTCTCTCGCATTTGTGGAAGATTGTTGAGTTGCTTTTCCTTTCCAGCCTTTTAAATAATTTTATTTTATTCTTTGCTTTTGCTCTTGTCAGGCTAAGAACGCCCTAGAAACTCAAGTGTTACATCTGGATGGCGACCTAATAGCTTCAAGACAACTGACACAGAAGACCAAAGAGGAAAGAGTATGTATTTTGAACTGTAATATAATGCTCTGCGAGTATATGTGAAAATTTTGCTTTTTATTTACGGTTTGGAGTTAATGTACCAGTGATAATATGACATTTGGACCCATTATTTTGTAGGATTCCTTTGAGCAAGAATTAGAAAGTCAGAGAGATGCTCTCAATGAATTGAGGTAACAGCGACTACACCGCGTTTTTTAACATCTAGATGTAATAGTATCGCTATTTTCATTTTGAGCGAATTTCAATTGAGCATCTAGACCTAAGTTATTACGTCATCACGACAGCCAATTGGAACAAAGATAAATTTCACAAGGAGCCTATAAGAACTAACTGAGAACGGGGGTGACCAGTGCGCGATTGGGTTTAAGTTTTGTATCAGATTGCCTGAGAGAATGGCGTCAGTTTTCTAGACCAATCAGAGAGTAATATGAAGAAAACCAATGAGATACCAGATAACTTTCGACACTAAACGAGGGGTTGGCCACGGCTACTTTTTTTACTGCCGGTAGTACCGTGTAGAAGACCCTCTGAAACTTCTGATTATATGTTTTCTCTAGAACTTCCTCACAAACAAAAATAGCGGAATTGGAGAAGAACGTTGCAGCTGAACAAGACGCCAAGGAGAAGGTAAAACAATACAATTACCCATTCATGGCACGTGTAATATCATAAACTCCTTGCTTAGGTAATTAGAAATTTTTTTTGTTATTTTGAAAGAATGGCATGTTGTGATTTTCAGGCACTGCAAGAGGCTCAGGAAAAGCAACAACTCTTAATTAAACAGAAACTAGATCTCGAAAATAAGCTGGCTAACTCAGAAAAAGACTTACAAAAGGTAACGAGGTGAAGTTATTTGACTCTGAGTTTGTTTTGTTTTTTTACTTTCGTGCCCGTTTCAATACCTACCTGATATTCGCAGTAGGGAGAATTTGAATTGTTAAGTTGTTCAATCGTTTATCCGTGATGTGCACTTTAAATAATTTAATATGTTGATGACTATGTATTCCCTAAAGTACTGGTTGGGGAAATTTGACGTTTAAGCTCCTAACTGGAGAATTTCAGGAGAATATGATGTTCTATCAACACTTACAGCCCTGGCCCCGGTTGTTCAAAGGTTGGATAACGCTATCCACTGGATAAAACTCTATCCAGTTGATAACGCTATACGTTTTGCTATCACTTATCTGCCGGATAGCGATTTATCTGTTGGATAGCGTTATCCGCCTTTTATACAACTGGGCCAAGGTATAAACGTAAAACTCTTTTAGCCGGTCTGCATACGAATTAATTTCTCTAACAAAGAGTACAGTTTTTGCTTTTGAGTAGCGCCATTCTAAAGAGTTTACTTATGTTACGCAAACAGATTAAGGGCAACCTTCCTGACCGAATTTTGACCGAAATTCTTCTACTGTTTCCAGGCAATTGAAGAACATGAAGAAACTAAAGAAGTCTCCAAACGAGTTCAGTTGTTATTGAAAGAGGAGACAGCCGCAGTTCAGACTAAGCTGGTGAGATGTTTTTCCTTTTTCTCCTTTTTTGGTATATTCTTTTCCTACTGCTTCAAGAAAGTGTAGAATAGATTCTATCGAAAAAGAGATCTCTTACTTGTCATTTTAAGCTTCTGCTGTAAGTCAAGTACTTCATACTCTAAATGTGTATTACGGGTAACCTTGGTAGCAGTTTTTAGACGCTATTAATCCACACTCCTCCCCTCCCCTTCCCCCTTTTTATCGTTGACCGCACTGAAATGCAGTAAGCAAAGAGGTCAAAATGAACATGCGTCTGTTCTTTTTCATTTGTCCGTTTTTTGGTTGTTTTCTAATTTCTTATTTGTTTCTTTCGTCTCTCGCTTTTTATTCTTTCCGTTTTTCTTGTCGTTTTTCTCTTTCCCATTTGCGTTTTCTGTCTTCAGGCAAACGAAACACAAGAACTTGAAGAACTTAAAAAGTCCAAAGAACAGATGGAAACGAGGCTCAACATTCAAATATCCTCTCTGAACGAAAACTTAGCGGCTGCGAGGACTGAGGCCGAGAAATTCCAACAGGAGACGAGAGAGGCTGGGGAGAAACTTGCAGATGCTGAAAAACGAAATGATGATTTACAAGGAGAAATAGCTGGTAAAGTTTTCTGTGATAAAAGTTTTTCTTGGGGTCTCCTTACTAGAAAGTTGTGACATATTGAGGATTAACCATTTTTTCTGATTTGTTCTTATTAATTAGTTTTGGAAGCAACTGTCCAAAATAACTTGGATGAAAGAAGAAAATTACTTGAGAGGTATGTAAAGCAGTAAAACTGAGACCGTTAGCGTGACCAATTGTCACGAAAGCGTCACGCAACGAATTGTGATTGTGTGACAAAATCAACGAGACCCTCACTACGTTTTTACGAATTCAAAGTGAACATAAGTTATCGTTTACCCTTCGACACCTAAGAGTGACTAACATCTAATTTCTCCTTACAATTTTACCCCTGAATCGCACATTGTGGTAACGAGAATATAGGAAAAGACAACCAACTAAAGAAGCTCTTGATCGTTAAATAGATACTCTTTGTCAGCACCCTTGGAAATGTATAGAGAACAGTATGGAGAATATCCATTCTGATGTTAGTAAGGAAAAAAGTGAGGCAAAAGTCAAAAGAAAGTCTATCAATTAGGGAATAGAGAGCTGAGCAGAACACATCTTGCACCTACCCCTCCCCTAACCCAACATTAACCCTAACTTGTTATCAATTGACTGTTGTTGGGTTAGGGGAGGGGTAGGTGGGTAGTTGCCCAGATACTGATATTGATCCCACATCTTCAACTCGACTGATTGTTTTTCTTTAATTGTGTGGCTGGTAATTGTTAAACAAGTTCTCCTTGTCAGCTCTTTAGGAAATATATACAGAACAGTTAAGAGAATATGTATACTGATGTAAGGATATAAAGGGTGAACAGAATGCATTGTCAACTCAACTCATCGTTCTTCTTTAGGTGTGTAGCTGGTGATGAGGCGATAGAAAAACAGAAAAAGGAAATTTCTGAGCTGAACAGAAAAGTTGAAAATGCGCAGGCAGCCATGATGGAATTGACACAAGAGAATCAGTCGTTACAGGTACACGGGGAAAGGAAGACTCTTCAGATGTAATGCATTTGATTTATGGCGTAGAAAATTTAGGATTAGTTTCTTTGACCGGGTAAGCCTGCATTGCTGGCGTCTTATTTAGTGCGAGTTAACGTCACACGCTCGCGATCGTTTATCCGGCCGGTCATATTTGATTTAGAGTAAGAGTGAACGGTGGGGGGAGGGGGTGGGGAAAGGCTCTCGCACCTCTGATTTTCACCATAAAAATACTGAGTACTTTCTCGCTAAAATGATGCCTATTCTGCAGGCTATGACCAAGTCGGCAGTGGTTTTGCTCATCAATGATCTATTGACAAATTCCTTCCGTTTTCATGATTGGTCACAAAGATAGTAAATCAAATGACAGAGTAGCTTTGCGTGAATTGTATGATTTCAAATGAGTTAATTATATTTACTTATTTATGTCCTCAGATAACAACAAATCAAAAGAACGCGAGACGGTGGGAAAGTGATAATGATGTTGCGGCCTGTAATGGCTGTGACAAACAGTTCTCCTTAAAAATTAGAAAGGTTGGTTTTCCTGTGCCCCTTCATTTCCCTTGATGTGTTTCACATGTTTCACGTTCTTTAAGAATGTCTTTCTTTTTCGACTTGAAATAGCCACTGTACCTATACTATGGAGGCAGACATTTTCTTTTGGTCCTTTTTCTTTACTTGAAATTGGCTACGAAGCATAAGATGTCAAAACTAAGTGAACGTGAACAATGCCGGCGTAACCCTTTTAAACTCTAAGAGGGCTCAGAATCTAACTTCTCCTCACTGTAATACTGCTTAATCATTCAATGAGATCATGAGAATAAAGGAGATGATCGCCAACTTAAGAAGATTTTATTGCTAAAAGAATTCTCCTTGTTAGTATCAAAGATAATGTATAGAGACGCGTATGGAGAATATGGATTTTGAGATTAGGGTGTAAAGGGTTTAAAAAAAAAATAAAGTTTGCGTCTCACAAGAGCTTGTTATCACATTCTCTTAACCTCGATACAACACTTGCCTTTGTTTCTCTTAATTTATTTTGCTTTTCTCCTTCACGATTCTCAATTATACACTCCTTTTTTTCAGCACCACTGTAGAAATTGCGGGTGAGTCGACTTCATTTTCCGTATTTTTAGGGGATTTCAAACGTTTACACTTCCCATATTGGCTGTTTTCATTGTTTAGATTAAACCTTAAAACATATAAGAGTGACTAGCATCTAATTTCTCCTCACAATATCACCCCTCGATCAAGCATTAAGGTCATGAGAATATAGGAAATGATCACCAACTAAAGAAGCTTTTGATTATTAAACAAATTCTCATTGTCAGCACCTTAGTAAATGTATAAAGAACAGTATAAAGAATGTGTATACTGATGTTAGGATGTAAAAGGTCAAAAAGAGAACTAACAAACTTGTTATTCTTGTTTTATTTCCTTCAAAGATTAATTTACTGTAGTGACTGTACAGCAAAAAGTGCTCCACTGACGTCGAGCAAGAAGCCTGTAAGAGTGTGTGACAAATGCTTCGATGAAGTCACGTCAGGCACAGCTAAAGTAAGTTTGTTGATTGCGTGACATTTGAACAATAGAATGAACTTACACGACACCGAAGGGAACACTTTTGATTCACAAGTCAGGAAAAAGTCAGAAAAACAAATGAAATTATTCAAAATCGGGGAAAAGTCAGAGAATTTTACTCTGGTACAGGGAAAATTTACATCATTGAAAAAAGTCAGGGAAAAGTGAAATTTCAAGTGAATATGATATCGTTCATCTTGTCTTGGCTTTCTTCAAGATGAGAAGTAGAAAAACTTTTCTTTTATGTGATGTTGATCTTACTCATGTATTCGTTACTCATGAATTCGTTAGTAAGATTGTTCAGTTGGTAAGGGAAAGTTTTCGTTTGTCAGAGAAAACTCAGGAAAATTCGGGGAATTTCAAAATCTTATCACTGTAGTAACCATATGATGGTAGGAAATGGGGTTCAATCCTAGGTCGATAAGCATCCGCTGGTTCGAAAATGAGCCCACGCTTCTTACCCGCGCGAAGACTTGAGGCGAGGAACAGCAAAGGAAAACAGCTATACACAAAAATGAATTTTTAATATAAGTATGATCATGCCTTCAAATCTAACTTGAATTTGTGCACTTTTCAGTCTTATTCTCTAGGTCCAAACCAAGGCTTCAGCTAAGAAGACTTCTCAAGAGTAGATCTTAGTAGAAGAGATATATTTTTTCGCCAAGAAAGGACGTCACAATATGTATTTTGCATATCGGTGTATTTTTACCAAGGTATCATAAATGATAGAAATGGAGGTTATTCACTTTTACTATTGAGAACTTGGATCAATATCAGTATCTGGGCAACTGCCCACCTACCCCTCCCCTAACCCAACATTAACCCTAGCTTGTTATCAATTGACTGTTGTTGAGTTCGGGGAGGGGTAGGTGGGCAGTTGCCCAGATACTGATATTGATCCGAGAACTTTACCTAAAAGGAAGGATGGAAAGTATAAAAAAATACATTTTGCATCGTATAAGAATTAATGAATGTATTTCCTTAGTTAGGACGAAAATGTGAATGTGGAGAAGTTTTTAAACGACTTAAATTGATTAATGACCATTAGTCTTTGTAAATATCAAAAAATGTTTGATATATAGGTGTTTTTTTTGTGGTGGTACTTATTATAAGATAAAACTGAGAGGTAAGGAACTTATTGAGCCCAAGTGATAAGATTTTCACTGCGAAAAGCTCAAAAATGTTAGCAGCATTTTTTTGTACGATGTTTCCAAATGCATTGTCAAGGTCGCTTTTTATGGTCTTCTATGTTTCTTTTAAAGAACTCAGAAGTTACCTCCTGATGGATGCAAGAGTAGTGAATTTGTGATGTGAGGCACGACAACTAGTTAGTTAAAGCGTGATAAAGTGCGTCTCGATTAAGTATCGTAAAACCAAAACCGAAGTCATTACAACAGCCAATCGGACGAAGGATAATATTTTAAGAGTCAATGAGAACTCAGAGTAAAAACTACCAAATTGCCTAAAAAATGGAAAATGCGGGCGACCAGGTTGTGATTGGTTTTAGTTTTGCATCTGGTTGGTTAAGGAGGTAACGCGAGTTTTCTGCACCAATAACAGTGTGAAGTAAAGCAAAAACAATGTAATTTCAGACTACATCGACACTCAATTGAAAAATTGTTCTATACAAGGCTCCATGAGTTCGAAGACGTCTACTGTTTTCCGTTCATAACAACTTTGTAGAGGGAGCTTTTGATCAATTATTGTTCACGCTTCCAGTATCCTACACAATTGATGCAGATGACCAGCACGATTGGGTGTTTATTTAACTCTTGGGATTCATCAGCCTGCAGTGCAGACATCTCATCGTAAAGAGCGTGTCAGCGCTACAAAGGATGGTCCATTAGGCAGCCATGTTTGATTATCATCATTATTCCTTCCTTTCCTTGCCGCCTTGTTTGATATAGAATTGGAATCGAAGTAGAAGGGAGGGAATGGGTAATTGCCACCCTTCCCCCCTCCCCCCTCCCCCGATTCCCTATTGCCAACCGTCGGTATAAAGAGTTTTCTATCCACAACCTTAAAAAGATAAAAATTTAAACTAAGGATAGTTTTCTAAAATCATACTCGCCTGAGTTATAATTAATAAAGAGCCTTTTTGGACACTGTGTCAATGGAGTCATATTTGAAACCAGCGGTTTTGTTCACTTAGTAGATAGAGTGAAGAACATTGTTCACATTCCTCTTTTCTCCGAGTGAAGAAACATGATAAAAGACCAAAACAATAAGCAGCCGCTGCAAGGACGAAACTAAACAAAAGATTTAATGAGCAGACCAATTATAGCACTGCACGTGAATTTTAAGACTGTATAATTCAAAGCCGTTTTATGCAAAAAAACAACGTGAATTCACCAAATTTTGAGAACCGAGACCCAACGACATTTATTCACTTGAACTCAACACTGCATTTGTGGGTTACGCCCAAGGGGAAATCTTGCGTCCCTAAAGGAGGTAAGCATCTATTCGACCTACTCACAAAATTCTTTGGACAAGTGAAAGTTCATTTTTGATCGAAGTTTTCCTGGACGTCTTAACTTGCCAAACCAATGATCAAAATATTTCGGTATAATACAAAATGCTTACCTGACATTTTTTCTCTCAAGAAGACGTTACAACTACAGTAGCTCCCGCACATCTTTCCTCTTCTCTAAACTTGCCTTGTGCTTCATACCTCAATGAAAGTACAGCTGCAGCGTGAATTAATTGTTGCCAAATTTGCATAGGGCAAAATTCTTTCTTGACAAGTGCCTAGGAAAACAGTCATTCATCAACAGCTTTTTGCATAACTTTTATTGATTCGGGAGAAATAGTGTAGTAAGAGCTTACCTTACTCAGACACACTATTGAATGTCGTCATGCAGAGGACTCATAATTGGTGATTCGATTTTACTAACATAAGAAGAAGCCAACTTTTCATGTGAAATAACAATAACTCTTGCACACATTTCCTTTTTTATACAAATACACGTCGGAGAGTCGATAAACATGTATTGGAGAGTGAGCAGACGTAATTCAACAGGCCAGTCTGCTACAACACTTATGAACGCCATAATTAATGTCGACATTCTTACCAACAGCAACATCTCGAAATGATGCACGTTGCGGCCTGGAATCTGCTAAGATATAGGCTGTTAAAGGTAAGTAAAGCACTATAGATATTATTTGTATAGAGCTTGACAACCGACCGATAATCCGATAACAGACGATTAACTGCAAAAATTGTATTTGTAAACGGCTAGCCTGTGGAGAGAATTGACAACTGGAAACGCTTCTGCATTCACAGGCTGATATACGGCTAAAAGCAGACCGAAAATAGTTCAACTTTCGCCCGATGCCGTAAACACCATGCTTTCAAGCTTAAAAGATGTTATATTTGGAAATCTGAAAAAAACTTATCATTTGATTTTTCTCAAGTGAAAATTTCAGTAACAAACAACTTTATTTGTCACATACACTTCAGATTTCAAAAGTGAAAATCCAACTTGAGAATCTCAAGCAGCTAACGATTACACAGATTTAGTTTGAACACCTGTGACGGTCAATTTAGATTTTCCAAACTCAAAATCTAACTTGGTTTTAATTGTTGTAGCAAACAATTCAGATCTCTTATCAAGAGCTCTGAACTGTAAAAATAACATGTATTTCGGATTTCTGACTGTAGCTGTAAACCCGAAATGCATAAATTTGGAAAAGACACACATCTGAGATTTGCTATTAAAATCTAGACGTGCGTGCTGAGAGTTAGCACTCTGCAATACAGTTCAATAGTTCTCATTTAATGTAACTGCGGCAAGACTGGCCGTAAATGTGGTAAACGTAGATAAATACATTTCGTTTTGAAAGGATATATTAACGTTTTCGCTAATCGTCCGTACCAAAATAAAAGAGACCAGGAGACTATTGAAAACGTATGGTATTAAAAGCGCCTCATTTCTTTTGAGGACAGGTGAAAAACGGTGACGCCACATTTTCTCGCTTCCATTAGTGTTTTCAAGTGTTTTGTTTGTACAGTAATCCATGCTGAAACACCTGAAATCGCTGATGAAAACGGACTACCGAAAACGGTTTCAAAAGTAAAACATTTTGAAACAGTCTTCAAAACGCCAAGAGAAAATAATGGGACATTATTTTATCTCAAAAACGCCTAATTCCCGTTTTCTCCTGATGAAAGAAACGGCGGATTTAACAAAACCGTAACGTAAAAAGCGTCACATGCTGTTGTTTCCACTAGTAATTTCGGGCGCTTTCTTGTGAATTATTTGTGGAAATGCATCAAAATGTATATGTTCTTCAATTCAAAAAAAGTCAACACGTCAGTGCAGGCAGGTAAAGACGACCACGAAACAATTTTGTAGATGAGCATTGTTAGTTGAGACGAAATCCGATACTACTAAAAAAACGCTGAAGTGTAGAGGAGGTTTTACAAGAAGCTTGGGACCAAGTCGGAAATAAGAATAACACGTGACCTACCTATACCTATATCACCAGGACAATTCGGGTGTTCACGCATGACAGCTGCTAGATTGTGAGGATCAAATGAACAATTCGTCTGTGACGTCACTCTACTTGTATTGTTCAGCGCCTCTTTCCATCTGTGACCAAATTTCACACAATGCTCACTCAAGCACCAGTTCTGTCTAGTGACAGATGACGAATTATTGAGACAGTTTTTGACGGCTACGTCATAAATTGCTCGGAGATTCCTACAAAGGTCGCGTGGAATAAATCTGATCTTGGCAGTGTTTTCAGTTTTTCCCCACTGATCGCTGTCTGTGACGCGAATTTTTACATCAAATTCGTCACCATTTTTAAACTGAAAATCGTCCGTGACTTCAATTCCCCCGGTAAGACGGTGAACACAGAAATAACTCATTGGCTTAACAGTGCCAGCACCTTCACAAAAGTCGTCAATGTCGCGCCGTTTCCGTTTTGACTCACTGCGTGACAACTGTTGTTGCGTGACATTCTCCATGTAAAACAACAACGGTTGAACCAAAGACTCTAAGCGCCCCGTGACAGTAACATTCGTGACGAGAGTTTCAGATTTGATGTCATAAGGCAGATAAACGACCTGATCACTGAGCTGCAACGGATTTGTGTCTGTAAAGGATAAAAAAATCAAGAAAATATACACGAGGCTGATTCTGACAAAGTAAAAACCTAAAGAGAACTAGTAGTGAATAGATCCTTGCTCCTGTACACTCTTTGATTTACGTTATATCTATTTCACTTACTCCGTTTTGTTCAATGTCATACCTGAGCAATTGGACTCGCTTGTCATTCCTGTTTTTCCAAATGTCTGTTTCTTTGCTGGACATTTTTTGCATGACCTTTGACCCTGCTTGTTCTGATAAGTGTCTGATGGACAACGGTCACATAGACTACCGGAAACGAATTTAAACCCAGGCAAGCAGCCTAAAGAAAGAAAGACAACAAAAATTTACGTCTGTCTCGGCTTAGATTTGAAATAAGCTTAATTAATCACCAATTGATACCACTTTTGCGCGTGGAGTGCCACCAAGCGCAGACAATTCACCTCTGTATTGTCAGGAGCCGCTAGCTTGTAGAAATCTGTTAGATTTCTTTGGCTCAAAAACATTGTATAGATGAAACACCACAATTAAGCGCGTTTAAGTTTGTTTGAATTTTTTAAAGCTGTTTGTTGGAGGTTAAGGTGGGCTCGACTTCCATCATTCTCTCGATTCTCGTCTTCGATCTTCCCGAGAAGGTCTCTTGGGGAGGAGCGTGGGCTCATCCCTAACCAGCGGATGATAATCGAGCCTTGCTTAGAGGTTCGGTTAGAAGAATACAGTGGTCAAACGTCTGCGCATGTTCGGTAAGAGGAGTAATCTCTTGGGTACAAACATTGAAACGATTGGTGTCACACAAGGCGGCCCTTCCTAGTGCCTTCAGGCTTTTCAAACTCACAAAACAGTAAATCAAGACATTTCAAAAGCGAATAAAGTTTTCTGTAGAGCCCGAAACTGATGGTAAATCAACAGAACATCCTAATGAAATAATATTTATGTCAGAGTAGTTTAAAGTTCTCCACTTCCCTACTTCTCTTTCTCTTTGCAGCTTTCTGTGAACATTTCAGCTCATTTTCGTGAATTTTGCGTAGAAGCGATATCTTTACATTTTTCTTTAAATTTTTCCCAGGAACTTGGCGGACGGCCGGCCGAAACTATTTCATTTGTGCATGCCTCATGTTTGACCGCTGTATTAGTTACTGGTTGTTGGTAACTTACCACACTTGGTGCTGTTAATCCGTATTGAGCCCGCAGCACAGCAAGGCGGCGGTATATCTCCACCACAGCATGATGTCGTATTTGATATTGAGGATAAATTGTAGGTGGAGTAAGTCGTATCTCCTTGCTTTATTTTTGGAGTATTTGAGTCTAAAAATTGCTTGTAGTTAGATAGAGTACTGGTACAATCAAACAGCTTCTTGGAAACTTCATAATCTGGCACACTTGTAGATGCTGTAAATATCAGTGGTATTCTAAAAAAAACACTTCTCACTCCTGGGGGAGAGTTATCTATATCTTTCCTGGAAACTGTAACTTCTTTGCACTCGGGGATATTTGAGAGAATGCTGGAAATTGCGTTAAAAAGACCGTTAAACGTTCTTCTGGTGTTACTTATGGTGCTACTTGTAAGACCTCCCTGGATTTGATAGTGAAATGTGATGTCGACCTCGTAACATCTTTTCACATCGTAGTTAGCAATCAGTGAAGCATCTGAAATCGTAGAAGAAAACGTAGAATTTGTTTAAAATGACCAATTACAACATACAACAGACTCTTGTTTACATATACTTTTTTCTTGTTTTTATCTTAGTTCTTAGGGACCGGAAATTATTCACCGCCAGTGGGAATGTATTTTTGAGGTTTTATTGTTGGGGTCAAATGATTTTTAGGGGAAACGGAAGGAGATCAGTTGTCGCCAGGTGAGTGTAATCACATTATCACATCATTTGCGACAACAGTTATCTATCTGCGCGCATCTGTAGTACGTTGTGAGCGTTTGAAGAGAACATTAATGTTTGTGTTCTGATGATCGTGATTCACCTTGCTATGGAAAATCTA